GTGCCGCAAGTCGGTAAATTTATGCGAAAGCCACGGACCTTTAAGGTGAGCTATGGCTACATCGATCGATGCAATTAATTTGTTTTAGGGTATTGCGTGGCTAATGTGGTACTTTGAAGGTATACTGTTTTTAGTCTGTACATTAACTTTGTAACATTAATATTGGAAGTTAGTGTTCTGTGTTGCCACTACATATTTTACGTTCAATAAAGACATTTTCGTTTATTCAATCATTCATTGTTTATACTGTAATTCATAGTTTCCCAAAGTGGTCCCTACCGACCCCCAGTGTGCGCTGTAGAGTCTTAAGGCGGTAGGGGCCTCGGAAGCAATTGGGGGGCGATGATGTTATCCAGGGGGTGTTGCCGTATTAGAAAAAAATCTGAAGTATTTATATAAACTACACTACATACTTGTTTATATATTTTTTCCTTGTGGCTCTTTGTCTTAAGTTAATATAAAAACACGTGTTTTCAACTGTTTTTTGTGGTAGTGGGCGTTACAATTTGTTTACCTTGCCTAAGTGGACAGTTAGCCAAAAAGTTTGAGAACCTGTGCTCCAACTAAATAACCAGCGATTTTAGTAAACACAAGTGCATTTACCTAAATTTCAGGAAAGTAATATACTTAAAAGAGGGTAATACCTCTCTTAGAAACCACAAAAGCCACATCTGCAATATGACAACTTTTGAAGGGAGAGGTATAAAGATTCTAAGAACGAAATTAGTCGATAACTTTTTACGCTTAAATAGGAGAGTTACAAAGTTTCACACATACATTTGTTTCATGTACGTTGTATTAGTTAAAAGACATTCACGTGATAATAGTTATCTGTTATGCAATGCTGCAAAGTTGCTGTTTGACGCGAATGCTTGTATTGAAAAATAGATTAAGTTCAAAAATAAATTCCTAAGCGTAGCGAGGGTTTCAAGACACGAGACGCAAAACAACGTTGTTGCCAAGCGAAACACACAACTTTTCACCTCACTATAACGAGGAAAATGGTAGATGAGAGAAAAACAGTTGAACTATAAAACATCCGTTTTAATTAAAAGAAAAAGTTTATCTTCGGATGCGTTCTGAATTTACACCTCATCAATTTTTATTTTTGGTTGTACTTTTATTTTGTGTGAGTAAGTGATATTGAAATTATTTTAATTCTTCGACGAATTAAAATAATTTAATAAACACAGTTATTTATTGTCAATTTAATGTCAACAATAACAAGAATAAAATATACCAACGGATTTATATTACTTTTATAGGTAATCTACGACAAATCGCGTAGTTGAAAGTGTCATTATCTTTTTTTTCATCGAAAGAAAAATTTGCTGCACCACAGCCCACGGTATCAAGTTAGAATTTCAAAAACCTTTTCCACGCTAGCGTGCAAAAACCGCTTTTGCGCGCAGATTTGTAATGAGAAAGAAAGCCTTTCCGCTTAGAGCTAGTGAGGTGAAAAAGTACTTTTGACCTTCTTTTGACGTATGATTTTGACCTGTGACTTTATTATACCAAGGTTATGATGATATTTAGTTCCATATTTTTTATGAGTACCTAGTAATTACTGTAGGTACTACAATCGTACATTTAGAATAAAAGTTTTGTAAATGTAAACAAAAAAGTAACTTTTTTTTGCCTTTTGTTTTTAACAATTTTGAGATTTTAGTGGGATTTTCTGTCTATTCCGATTTCTGTTATAACTTAATCACTACTACGATAAAGTACAAAATAAGAAAACAAGTACCTACGTTACTACACCTTGGCGAAAGTATAGTACATCATATTATTATGTTGAAAAAATCACCAGATGCAGATTATATGCTATGAAGGAAGAAAACAAGTACTTTACGATACCTTAGCGAAAGCATAGAATTTCATATTATCTCAAATCTGCACATGCAGATTATATGCGACGAAGGAAGGAAACAAGTACGTTACGATACCTTGGCGAAAGTGCACAATGTCATGTTATCTCTAAAAAACCTTTAGACATGTAGATTGTATGGCGGATAAATTGTTATGAATCAGTAGTTACTAGGTTTAACGGAGGTAAAGGTTTTTGTGGAAAAAAGCATGCTTCTGTTAGTAGAATAACAGTCGTAATATATATAAAAATATAATTTATGCATATCGTATGTGCTTTTCATATGTAGTTAGGTCACGTCTATGAAAAAAAACAAGATCCAAGTTCCACCTAGTGCAAAGACGATGAGTCAATGAGCACCGAAATACCTACATGTCACTTTAGAAGATTGTATTGTGAATTATTCCGCTCCTACATCATCCGTTGAATAAACTCCTTGTCATCAGAGACGAATTTACTTTGGCCTATTTTTTGGACCTAAATTGCTAGTTGCGTAAGCTTCAGTATAATTTCCATCGCAATTGATGGAGTCCATTGTAGCGACGGAATTATATTTGTTTCTTTATGTCATCCTATCCAAATTGATAGAAGTCTTTTATATATTTTTTAAGAATAACTAGTGACGGGACGAACAACTCGTGCGCGTGATGGTAAACTACGCACCTGTCCATAACAGTTGCAGTGCCACTCAGCTTTAAATCGCAAAGATCTGAGAGGCACTGCTACTGCGTCAGTCACCCTGAGACATACGTTGACAAGTCCCATGTGCCTGTAATTTCACCAGCGCCCATATCTTTCAGAGCCGGAACACAGTAATGCTGACATTACTGCTTGGCGGCAGAAATAGGTAAGGTGGCAGTACTATCCTGGACAACGAAACGAACTCTTTCACAAGGAGCTCTACTGCTTCTTTTACAATTTCTGCTTTGTAGTAGATATCTACTACAGTATTAAATTCGTTATTTAAAACATGGAAAGAAATGTTTTTTCAAAGCAGCGATAATAATAGGTTCTTTTTTAAAGTGGCTGTATGAACCTGAAACTTTCCTTTCCAATTTGCTTTTTTTTAATTATCTGTAGCAGTAAATTCGCCCACTGCGTCTCTGTTCCAGCAAAATCGGAGTGCAAGCCAGCGAGTCTAAACACCTTATGAAACATAAATCAGCTCTTAGAATTACGAATAGGTATTCAGGCCAACTCTCTGTAAGTATACGCGAAAATTTCGGACGATCCCGCAAAACCTATCGCCAGAAAATGGTAAAAAAGACTTATAAGCAATTTCTTTTGCACAAATCAAAATCATAGCATTTGAGCGATTACTTGATTAAGAATGATTGAGGATTTGACTGCGTTAGACTGCTACGCGAAGCGGAGAAGGGTATATACAAAAACTCGAGCTAAAATAACACGATAAAAAATTGTTACAAAAAAAAATTACTCAAAACCAACGCAAGGAAATAAATTTGAAATAATTATACGCATATAAAAATTATAAAATTATACGCAGCTTCCATATATGTGGAAGTATTTTTGTCAAAGAAATGTGTTTTCAAAACCGAAATAATTACAAAATTACGACGATAAATAATTCCCACGGTCTTACGAGATTCCAAAACCCAGTACTCCTTAGATATTAAAAGAAGCACAAGATGGCCGCCTGTGTGAGGGCCACAGCAATTACCGTTTTTGTAAACATTTAAGTTCGGCGCGCTGCTGTGAATTTCGTCAACAGATTTTTGGTCTGCACGCTTGGCATGATGACCACTCCCCGTTTGGACGTCGCCTCCGTAAACGAACCATTAGTTTTGTGTCCCTCCCTCTTAAATAATAACAAATAGGTGGTTCTATAGGTTAAAAACCAATGCAAAACAAAGGGCTTCAATAAACGGGTACAGAAATAGCTATACACCGCTGACCTTTCGTAAAGGCAATGGATTCCTAATCTTTTCACCTAGTCGTTGAACTTTATTGATTGAATAAGTGACCTTTTGCGTTTTCAAGGGAACAAAGAAACGTAGAAGATAATAAAATAAGTATAACAAAGCAGGTTCTTTCTAACTTGTAAATGAAAGTGACGTTTACTAAAACAAATTGCACCCGAGGTGTAATAAGACCACATCTGCAAAGTTACAATTTTCAAAAGATAAGTTTAAATCGACAACTACATCGATTAAGCCGTGAAATTATAAAGCAAGAAAAACAAAGGATATGTAACAAATTTAATTATAATATCTCCAGAATCGCAGGTATTATGTTTGTTTTTACATTAAAGACGTTCCCTTGTAAAGTTGTGAATTTGGGCTTACGATTCTTTACGTAGGAGGGACAGAAATTAATCGACAACTTTTTTTTGTGATTAAATAGGAGTTTTTCACATATTAAGTACATAATTTGTTCCATTATTTTTATGACTTTCATGTGATATAAGCACTTTTGACGTATTATCAGTGGCTTTATTGGAGGGTACGAAATAGTCATACCGTCGTCTTAGAGTGAAAACCTTGAACGTGATTTCTATGTAATTTTTCAGGACGAAGATAAAATGTGGAGAAAATGTAGTAAACGCAATAATGTTCGTACAACGCCTTTCAGAGTATCAGATTATTTATCTATATCTATTAGTTTAATAATATTGCGACAACACTGACATTTTACCATCCATACTTGATATATAATCGGCAAGAATAACAACACTAACAGAAATTATTAAACGTAGGTAAGTATTTTTTAAACAGATATAACTTTCTATATTTCTATATGTGCTTATCTATTTATTATTTAACTCAAAACACACTTCACTACTTTTTTGTTAACAATCACGCCATTTATTATTTGATTGAATATGATGATATTTTTACTACCATATATTTTTTGTGAAAATACTTCACTAGTGAAGGAACTATCGTAAGTTTCTCAGAGGGAATTTTTATTTGCGTCCTGCGATCTTTGTAGCCATAATAATCACACCAATTACCTTGTCTCAAAGCATAAAGGCAATGTCTAGGTTCGCCATGAATACTGGAATAACAAAATTTATGTGGGGCGCATCTGAATACGACCAGAACCAATTTAAAAATTAACAGCTGCTATAAATAGTTGACTGAATAAATAAGTCACATGTACTGATACTTACTGATGCGTGGTAACATTAAAGAAGAGATGTGAGAACTGCGGGGCGGAGTCTTCGGGGCCGTGCGGAGCAGGGAACGACATCACCAGCAGAACTGGTTTCCTGGAGAAACGTCTCTTTGAAGCTCGCAGGAATGCTATTGAGTCGTTGGCTATGAGATCTGGGTAGTAATCCTGGGAAAGAAATGCGAACCTTCAATGCATAACGCGTTGAATAATAATGTGTAATGTTATTAATAATATTTCTTTTCTGATTTCTCTGTTCTTTACTCCTTAACTTTAATTGTCATTTCACCGTTGATGTTTTTTAGACTTGTTTTTGTAGACGGTGAAACATAGACCTAACTGCAAAAAAATTTGAAAAATACTTGACGATGAAATTTATACACATTATAATTATAACTATAAAGAAGGTTTGCCAAGTTTTATTGAAATCAGTTAACGGTAAGTGCGTGAAATCCAAATAAACCGGATTCATCCACCAATTTGCTACCCATAAAGGTAGAATATTTTTTCAAATTTGAATGGGGCCACAACTGAGGTACCCACAACAAGAAAAGAATCATCGAAATTGGTTCACAAAATTAAAAAGTAATTGCGTAACATACACAAAAAAATAAGGTTCAATTGAGAAAATCCTCCTTTTTTGAAGTCGATTGAAAAACAGAGACATTTAATTTATTCCTTCATTGTTCGATAGAGAGCGCAATGCTTATTGTAGTGTAATTTAGGAGCTCTCTCAAATGATAAGTAAAAACAAAAAATAAACTTAACTCGTTTTCAGTCCAGACACTGTTTCACTGAATGTGCAATTTGTTAATACCGACACAAGTCAGTCTATTACATATCATGACCACTGCTTCTTCTAGATTATATACTAGATGTTCTAGATTAATCCGTTAATCACTTTCAGCATTATCCACTTTAAGTTATGGTACCTAACATACCTATATAGGGATTAAGTTATTGTTCGTACTTAAGTGGGAAACTCAACCCTTACCCGATGATAATCATCGCCATGTTTGATCCGCTTCCCGTTCATGTTAATGCTGTAATTGTAATATTTGGAGTTCATGATCAGACCTCCCCATTCCCTCCATCCGGGGGGGATGTACGACCCGTTATACTTGTTCAGATACTTGCCGAAGTAGCCTGAAATAATGGAGATAAGTACATTAAATGATAGAACAAAAGTATGAAATACACGGATTTCATGAAATCCTTATCATAGCACGGTATGTTGCACGCCAGCGTCGACAGCCCCTGTTCGCTCTACATCTAATCCGTACGAGGTACTAAGATGGACACCAATCTACGAGGCTCTAACCTTGATAGAATCTCTAAATTGGATTAATGATAGTGACGTGTTCAATAACTGTGAATCGAAATATCTGACATTGGTTGGTTACTACTCGGAGTCGGTCACCGCCAGAAGGTCTGTGTTCGCAGCTTGCTTTTGGCCAGTGATTGACTCAACCCTTATTGTCTAAGGCTTACATGTTTAGTTATTGTTATAGCTAGTGTAAGTTTTACAATGGTTTTACAATATAAATAAATAAATAGCTAATTTGATGTAAATTGAGTTATTAACACGTTTTTTTGCCAAAATTACAATAACGTCAGCATACTACCAAATGAGCGATGTCTGGAGTCAGCGAAACAAGGTCTACAACCCATATAAGCGGTATTTATATATCTTATTAATTTTATTGTTAGCCAAAATCAGCGTAATTGACATTTTTCAAATAAAAAAACTTTAGGTGCTAATAATTCGAAAGTTATCAAAATGTAAATACGTTAGATATTACAATGAGGGCAGAAATAACAAAACGGGAGATGCCGTGGGGACAGGTAGGTACGTATGTATAAAGGTAATCTTTTAGTAGTACTTAAAACAATAGGTACTTGGAATTCAATAAACACACTCTTTATACAACATAAATTAACAATATCGAGTTCTAAGGTTTTCGTGATTGTTTCACATTGGAAATGTACCTATATTTTCGGATCTAAATCTTTTATATTTCCTTTCTCAAATGAAATAACGTTTCTGGCCCTTTACAATCAGCCGTGCTCATGGGAATTGTAAAGGGCCTGAAACGTTGGTATGTTTATGAAAACTAATATGCGCAATTTAGACCCAAAAACATAATTTAATTTTCAATAAACCAACAATAATAAAAGAGTCAGTTACAGAAGTACTTTTTATAATCATAATTCATCTTCATATTCAATATCTGAAGTTCTTGTAATATCCAATACCAACAAAGCAACTTGCAGTGACAGGAACACGTACTCAGAGTCTGAAAACTTACGGCTAAGTTTTCAGACCAACTCGCAAGTTATGGAACGCGAAAATTACTTTCCAAGTAGTTCAGGAAACCGCAATGGACAAGTGAATGCATCACAAAATGACTCTTGGTGTATTTTACTTTGCTAAAATTTTAGTTAAATACTCTTCAAATATTACGAAGCATCTCAGACAGATTACGATAGAAGAGCACCTAAACCCAAAAATATGTAAACATAAATATATGCATAGACAGTGATTCTTATGTACAAGAGTAAGTAAGTAGTTCAAATTAAATGCTCGTACAAGAAAAGAAGAGAGAGAGAAAGAGAGAGAAATAAACTAATATTTAAAATACTAATACTTAAAATCATTGTTAAAATATTTAAAAGTGCAGCTGCAGGGCCACAGTCGTGTCACGCGCGCGCCACTTCTGCAGTCTAGCGTCTAATTTGAAGACACTCTACTCTTGTAAATAAGAATAATTGTCTATGTACAAATTTAAATTTGGTAGTTCTCTCCTTAGACTATGGAAACTTTTTTCATCCTCTAAGGTTTTCTCTGAAAAATCCAATGATATTATACTATAAAAATCTGACAAAATAAAACCTGTCAGCATAGTAAGACATTGTTCGTTATAGACAATGGTGTTGAAAATTTTCATTTGAGCGCCATTAATGCAGCGACGGTTTTTAATTTGTCGCGGAGTGCGTCAATTTTCGCTGCCGAAGAAACGCTGATTACTTTGCTCTCGAGTTTGCATAAGTTGAATGATGAAGCGAACATTTTTGGAATTAATATACTATACTTAGCCATATGCCATGTTTTAAATATTAATGCGCTACTTTTTGACAATATAACCAACTTGATAAACCATTACGATTCATTGCGTTACGTGTGGTGCTATTTAACATGGAATAGTGTCCTCAAACAGACGAAATCATAGGACTTGTAAATAGTCCAAAACGTTGGGTTGTTTGAAAAAACAAACATTAACACTATATAATATATAAAACACTATTTAGGTCTGGATGAAAATTGTTTCATATCCGATCATATCTTTAAGTTACCTGATTATTTAGAAGAGTGAAATAAGTGAATCGCACTATTCATATTGTACGTTTTATTTTCCATTAAGGTATTATCTCAGACCTTTTGAAAACAATGTAACAATGAAAGTAAATTATAGCAAATGTAAACCTTTAGACAGGTCACGTGAAATATGTTAGTAAATGGCTTAAAGGATCTTATTGACTGTTAAATTCTAATTAACTACGCTGCTCAACTTCGGCAAACGAATAGCAAAAATAAAACAAGAAAATATTTTTTCCTTACTGTCTATTTTTCCTTTCTTTTTGTTGTTTATGAATGAAGTATAAGGCTTCCGTTATGATTGTAAGGTAAATTAGTGTACAGTACAAGATGTATTTAAAAAAGAAGACTCGCTGTTTTTTTTGTGATACTAAGTGACAGGACGAATAAGTCGTGCGCCTGGTGTTAAGCAACACACCTGTCCATAGCAGTTGCAGTGCCTCTCAGATCATGCCATTAGATCTCGGAGCTTTGAATCACAAAGATCCGAGAGACACTGCCTCTGCTGCTGCCACCCTGAGACATAAATTGACAAGGCACATGTGCCTGTAATTTCACCAGTATCCTTACCCTTCAAAACCAGTAATGCTCACATTACTGCTTGGCGGCAGAAGTAGGTAAACTGGCAGTACTTCCCTGGACGAACTCTTTTACAAGGAGCTCTACTGCTACTTACATACAATTCTGCTAAATATAAAAGTTGATTAAATAACAACTCTTGAACTTGAACTCAAAATAAATATGAATACCTACAAAAAAATTCAATATGTTGGTAACGTAGATGATACACATTTACTAGCGCAACTATTCGCTCGCTGTAAGGCCCGCGCACATCTCTGGTGGAAAGGCATTCCACCAGAGATGTGCGAGTTAACCAGGTGGTGAGAGGATGTGCACCGGCGCGGTGAGAGGATGCGTTATGGACTCTTTTCAGCTATATGCGAGCGGGGTACGGTACGGTGGGGTGAGTGTCAGTAAGTGTCATACTTTCAGTAGCTCTAGTTTCTTACACCGTTTTGCACACATTCCTCGCCCTCATCCCTCGCCCACATTCCTGGCACACATCTCTCGCACACATTTCTCGCTATTTTGTATGTACAAACACTTAGCTCCGCTAGCCGTTTTCCATCAGAGCTTCGCTAAGCGAGGCTAGGGAAATGGAGTAATTCTATTGGTAGTTTTTTCCTCGCACACCGCCTCGCTACATCGCCCATCTCTGGTGGAAAGGCAGCTTAAGACATAGTATAATGTATGTATAATAAAAGCAAATAGGGCAACTCCCGCCTTTTCGGCGCGTAGGTAAACGCCTACAATTCGCTTTGAAATAACCTTTATTAAATGCAGCATGTACTTACGTATCGATATTTTTATACCAGCATCGCGGATTGGTATCTTGGTTTTGGAGTAGGTATGATTATGAAACACAAATTAAATGCTGAACTGATATTGAGGCTCTCTTGTTTACCATAAACACGACAATTAATGTCATTTTTTAAACACCGAGCGACCATTTCAATGCAATTCTATAATTTGTGGCGCGAGTGACGATCCGCGCTATGCAACGAGAGTGAACCGCGAGGTTATGCGAATGTGTGCGTCCGTACACAGCGCGCTGCTCTGCGACATTTGTATCGAGTTACCACACTTATCATACTATACTATAGTACAGACGTCTAAGCATAAGTTTATTCTATACACTCTGAATTAGCATATTCCCCGGTATCTAATCTGGGCAAGACGTCAGTAATGTGTCGGTGTCATGCAGCACTTGGCTCCAATTGATAACTGAACAGATGTCTGGAGTTTGCAGTTAATAGATATTGATTCTTGTTGTTTAGTATTTTTAGGTTTGAAATTAAAATGTAATAACGTAATTTTTGTACAGGAAATTGAGTATTATTTCAATAACAAACATCTTCAGAATTTTCATTTATTTAGTGTAGTACTTTCCGATCCGAGTGTTCACTGTAGTTCACACATAGCCAGCTCTCGCAGCCAATGAATTTTACGGGAACTATCGCTAGTTACATCACAATACACAACAACAAAGTCCACATTTATGCATTCACCTAACTCTAACCTTTATTTTTGCTACCCAACACGTCTCATTAAAGTGACGCAGGTCGCAACGGCGTCAGCCAACCACGGGCTGCTCTTATTTTACGCGTTACCAGGGGCGCGCGGGCCGCATGCTGGAATTTCATTTACTGTCAGCGTCAGCGACCTTAATCTCGCTGTAGAGTGACGTTGACAACCTCTGCCTCACTACTTCTTCCAAATAGAATTAATGCCTGTGGAAACAGATGGCAGTAGATCGATTGGCTTTTATTCTAAAAATACTTTGGTAATAAATTCAACTGCTTTTGTTTCGTTTCCTCTGAGAAATCAAGTTTCCTAATATAAGTTGCTAATTGCTACTTTTTCTAACAACATTTTTATTGCACATTTGCTTTGGTTTATCAAATATTCTTCTCAGTATGAAATATTCTATTGATTTTGAGATTCTTGTATGTTGACACATATATTTTTTATTCAAGTACCAGTTCCGTAGCAATGCCCAGAAGGCGTCGTTGTCGCGTCATGACAAAGTCTAGTAAACGTTATCTTAGTAGCGCTTACAAAGACTTTGTGTATCAGATCGCCGGCACGCGACTATAATCTGCACTGTTTATGGCCGCTTTATGTTTCTATTTCTGACTACTGAATATATTTACATACACAATATTCTACAACGTTACGTAATTTACCGGTTTTGGTAGATTTGTTTGAG